GGCATTCAGAGGGTTGCGCAACGTCACGATTTTAAGGTAGGTGAGCGGCGCACTCATAACCTGCTTAGCCACCATCTGTAAGTCCGCGAAAGAAACAAAAGCGAGCGATACCACATTGTCGCAGAGCTCTCAAACGACACATCGCCTCGTTTGCAACGCCATCCCATCGGCTTACCTCACACACATAAAACCGCCGACGTGCTATCCAGACACATGGATCTCATCTTACTCACAAATAGTCCGTTGTTCCCAAATGCAAACTTCATCTGACGTGCATAGGCGCTATCATTTGCTTCGACAAGCTCACCTTCGGTAAGACGGTGGGAACAATCTCCATCGGTGTGCACCTGTGGAACCCCACTAACGAGATCTTTGCCCCCTTCGCCATTTGGTTTTTGCTTTTGTGTCGCTGGCCTCGCTTACCAACTTTCTCAGCGGATAAGCTATGGCGTTCTACCTTACCTTACGCAATCATGAATCTCCTGCCACCGCTTCTCTGATTCCTGTTACTGTCGCAACTCTATCTGGTCCCCGGGGCATATTCTGTTTGACTCGCTCTTCAGAAAAAATCGCACTTCTTGCTCAGGAACTTGAGACAGTTGCTTCTGTGCAGTTTGACAGAGATAACCTAAACAATCAATCAACTAATCACAGCAGATCAGGGCACGACTTACAGTCAACAATTCATTACTTCACAACCACGTCCAAGCAAGTTGTTATTCTTCGGCTTAACTACCTTAAAGTCCTTCCGCAATAGCCCTCATGAAAGGGCGTTGTGTTGGAGCCCGCTCATCATCCATCAGGAACCACTCTATGTGGTATAACGACTGCTTACTGGCAAGCTTATCTCCTAGTCCCCTTGTGACAGTCCGCTCAATCACCAGGATCGCGCTCTAGGTCTGTTTCGTCGGCGTCAAAGCATCTGCTTTAACATTACTTTTCGCCATGCATAAGGTAAGCGGCGGTATAGGTGCAGAGAGCAAGGATCGCCGAATTGAGGCACAGAATTTCTCTCTGAATGGTGGCGACAAGCATTTGGGCTTATGGTGCTTCTGGGAGCTTCTCACACGAGTCAACTAGCATGTCCGGGGTTCTCACTGACTACCGACCTCGGCAAGCTTCTTGACCCGCTTTGCGACGTTGGCGAAGCCCGTCCAAGTCTTTCACCTGCGACCAAGATTTGCAAGCTTGCCATTCGTTACGTGATAACGCCTCACGATATCTTGCGCACCTACTATTCATAAGGTGGCCAATGTCTGAGGCTGCATTTTTGATAGATGAACAACTCTCGCAGTTCGATGCTTTGAACTCAACGATATAGAGCAGTTGTCTTGACAACGAGGTGCCTCTACGTAGACTCACCGAATCGGTCGAAATCAAGTCTTCGGTATCGCGACATGAACGGATACCCTCTTAACGTACTGTGTGAACAGCGATAATACTCGAACAATCTCTTTAAGATGAGCGAGCCACTCGATCGCTTCCCTGCCTATCTTCAACCTCCGCCGCCGCCGTTGAAGGGTCGTATTTCTAGTGAGGTGGCACTCAATGAAATAGGACTCGAGATGAGTGGAACGCCTTTGCTGATGATAATTTTGGCTTAGGAATAGCCTGTACTAGAGATTCAGTATGCAAACCTCGTCTGAATATCGTGGGCTTCAGTTATAGTAAAATTTTCTTATCTCTAAAGAGGAATGTTGTGAAAGACATCGCGGCCATGGATCGACATGATACTACAAGTCCGCAGTTCAAGAGAATCGCAAAGCCAACTCGGCTCCGGCACTTGCCGTCAAGGGCCTTTTTCATATGCGATACTCTTGAAAACCAGGGTCGCCGGATCTTCCGTGAAGTCTAGACCTCAGCGCCGAGGGAAGGATAAGGAGGTGAGACGTCTTGCCAGCTGTGGTGGATGTACACAGGCAGATGGCTACCAAGTAAGAGCAGCAGCCTAACCTAGAAAGGCCAGAAGAGCAAGGCCAGCGAATCAAAAGGGAAACATGGTGAAGTTACGTCTAGGAATGTTATGAACTTCCAAGCTCATAGTTCGAGGTGTCATGTTGACGGTAAGCTCTGTTGGAAAGATTCCTATATAAGACGTGACGTAACATTTCGTTGTTATTTTTTTCTCCCTCTTCCACAGATCATGTCTTCAGAAGTCCAGTCTTCTGATATTGAAGGAACATACTGGTAACACCATGGAAACTCGAGTATACCCATACCCCTACTGAGCACCATGACATTCATGGGCTAAATCGTTGGATGGATATCATGTCAACAAGCCCGCCTTTGGGAAGTTCTACTTTTCATCTATGTATTCTCATGAAATATCCAACGAAAGGACGGAAGTGTGGAGCAGTAGCATAGTTCTGACTTGACTAGTAATACAGGACATCATCCTTACCAGTGCATCACAAAGCGATGAGTCAGACTCAGCCGCGACTCGCTTGTAGGATGTCACGAGTCTTTCTCAAATGTTTCACATTCACTTCTCGCCAACATCATACCGAGTGGGCGGAATTGAGAACAAGATGGTTGCTTTTATATTACTTAGTGCCTGGGCATCAAGTGACGTAAGCCACTAAACTTCGGTGGCGCGTTTTTCCGGGGGGGGGGGGGGGGAAGGCAGAGGAGTTGTATGTAAGAAACGGACGTTAGATTCCGAACAGGATTGGTACATAGAGCCTATCCTCAGATAGCTTTGTCACGCTTGATTTACCATTATTCGTGAGTAAGCATGAGTTAAGCGACTGCAGAGATCCAGGCATGAAGCATGCTTCCCTGGCCGTGTCCAAGAAGGCGATACAATCCTGGTGAGTCCCTATCGCAAGTCGACTCTTGGTCAGTATCTATCTTCGGTAAAGGCGTGTTACGTATCTGGGAGCGCGAATACCGCGGAACTTTTGTCCTTGCTTCGTCGACGAGTCCTGGTTCTCGAAACCTGAAGGCTTCCTAAGAGAGCACAGGAAATACTTGAGTCGCAACCTGCAGGAACAAGTGGCTGAATTACGGGAGGGATTTCATGGAGCTGGCAATTTGCTGGGAAGCAAAATGAAATACTACAACGAGTACGAAAATGCTGTGTAATGAAAGCGGTGGCTCGACCAGATTGCAGACCAAAAGCCGATTTCTGCTCTAGCAGACACTTACCGTCGCCGGATGCAGGAAGAATGCTGCAGGTTATTCGATAGTCATAATTAAGACACTGAATTATGGGGTTTGTAAAACATAGTTCTTCTCTCTGATTCATGACTGTCAGCCCCTTAATGCACACATCACGTAGCAGTTGCGACTTATGATACCTTCAAGCAGTCTTGTAGGTCGTGCCAAGAGACACGTTGAAGTAGGAATCGTCATGAAGTAGTATACATATAGAGCAGAAATATGACGCCTTAATCTACGCCATTCATCACAAGCTTAGGGTTTACGTTCCGCTACTCTATTGTTGCTAGATTTTCTATGATAGACTATTGTAGAAAGCAAAGTCGAGATCATGGACATTCTCCACGGGTTCGATAGTTACCAATCAAAATCTCAAGGTCTTGGAAACAATACTTAGCTTCTAGAAGTGACGAGTGATAGCGCCAGAGGATACGGGCGCAGGCGTGGGCTTCAGCACCATACCACTCTCATAGAGACCCGAAATATCAGCGGGGACGGCGACATCGAGGCAGCCGACACGGCTTCAGGGTACAGTCTACATCAAAGTGCCCGGGATTCTCAACGTTGTCCGCCTCATGCAATGGGGCTTTGATGCGATTGGTGAACCTCTCAAAAAGCTGGCAAGAACTCCGATATTCCAGGCGTTGGACGTTCAACTCAAAGGTTAGGTTATAAATACTGACGAAACGTAGCAAGTCCCCGGCTTCCGGCCATTTCAATCCTCGGAAGTCTATCTGTGTCGTTGCTGCGAACTAATCCGACGATGTCAAGGGAATGAGGAATGAGTGAGATTGATGCCATCTTGTAAAATCTGAATCCGTTCCGAGCTATCAGGAGGCTAAGATCGCCAGCGATACTTCTACATGGCGGCAATGCCAATGGGAGAGACCAGGTACTCAACCCTGGAACTCGCCCCTGTGCTCGTATTCACGTTGGAATACTATGCAGATAGATACCAAGAGTTAGCAAGAGTAGATGGAGTGAATCTAATCGAGTTTCAGCAGGATGGAATAAATGAACATCTATCATTCAGTCTCATGGACAACAAAAGTCCCCAATTCTTAAGCTGGAGCCCGGTTTTACGATGTCAAGAAGAAGCGGAAGGCCACTTGGCGCTTTACTGGCAAGAAACATACGATCTGTTAAAGATGCCTAACTGAATCTATACCCAGCAATTTTTACCTGCCTTTTCCACTTTTTCCACTGGGAAAGAACAAACTAAACACTTGAGCAAAGTGGCCGCGAGGGGGCATATATAGCGCGGCTCGAGGAGACAAACTTCCAACCTAGTTCATACAGACCCAGTCCACATTAGCTTGGCTCTTGTTAGGATGTTGTTCTATTCTGAGGAGTTACCTAGGACCGCGAACGCCTAGCGCGGACTTGATGATATGCGACAAGAAGAAACTTCAAACTCAAAGCCTCGGTGTGCGAGTTTGACGCTCATTGTTGTAGAAAAGAAGACGCAAAGTCTTTAGACGTCATATGTACCCAGGTCCTTATCAACAATTTCTCAATTTATCATCACAGCTGCGAGAAGACAAAAGTTAGTAGATGCGAGACGGATATTGCTCTTGGCGACCAGCAAGTATAGCAATATCATTTCCAAAGCTGAATTCGGGATGGTGTATAGATGTATATGACGTTTTCAACTGTGTCCCACTTCCACAACACGCTACAAGTACATTCTCTTCCCACCGCGTCGGGTGTAAGAAAAAAATCTCTATCGGTCTCCTACGTTTGGGCGTCGATGGATTATTTCGTTCCCATCTCCTCCACCAAACCCCCACGGGTTCTCCCAAGGTGTCTCAGTCTATTTCTTCCTCACAAGTACGGGCAACTCACAGAACAAGTCTGCCAGGCTCCTCCTCCAAAATCACCTTGACCCTCTCCAAAAACACCTTGGCGCGCTTCTCATCGCCCTGCGGCACCGTCACGGTGAACAGGTTGCTTCCTGACGACATGCCAGGGGTATGGTGAGCAGCAGCAGCAGCGACCGGCTTCTTAGCAGCAGCGTTCTTGGCGGGTGCGGCGAGGAGGTCGATAATATCAGCCGAGGACGATCTCTTGGACGCGCGGGGAGCCAGGAGTGAAGACTCGGGCAGGGCGGAGATCTGGGGCAGGTAGTATCCGCGCGAGCCGCGGGGTGCCAGCTTGTCGAGGCCGAGGACCTGGTTGAAGAGCTCGTCGGCGGTGGCCTTGCGGGCCGAGGGGGGCAGGTCGTCGTTGGCGACCTCGGCGGCGCGGGCGACAAAGGTGGAGACGGGCATGAAGACACCAAGGGTGGACTGGATGCGCTTCTGGGCCTCGAGGACCTTTGCGAGGGAGACGGGGAGGGCGACCTCGGAGTCAACAGGCGCGGCGGGGGCCTCGGCCTTCTTGGGGGCGGGAGCGGGGGCCTCCTTCTTAGGCGCGACCTTGATGTTGCTCAGGTCGAGGTGGGACATCTTGACGGCGCGGTCCATGATCTTGGAGGGAGTTTCGGCGTTGATGGTGCCCAGGTAGGCGAGGACGTCACCCTTGAGGAGGCGGCCGTTGGGGCCCGTGGGCTCGATCTGGTTGACGGCGTCCTTGTCGAGGCCGTGGCCGTTGACGAGGGCCTGGACGGAGGGGAGGAGTGGGTATCGCTGCTCGCGGGCCTTGGAGCCGGAAGTCTTGGCCGCGCCGCCCTTTTGCTGCGAGGGGGTCGACGCCGCCGCGGGACCGTCGCTCTTGGGTGCTGGCTTCTCGGCGGCGGGGGCGGGCTTCGAGGAGGAGGTGTTGTCTTCAGCGGGAACCTCGAGAGAGGAGAGGTCGTCACCGGGCTCGGCGATGACGGCGATACGGGTGCCGACCTGGACGGCCTTGGCGCCGTCACCGGTGGTGATCTTGAACATGACGCCGTCGTCCTGAGCCTCGACGTCCATGGTGGCCTTATCCGTCTCGATCTCGAGGAGCACGTCGCCGGCGGAGAAGGATTCGCCCTCCTTGACCTTCCAGCTGGCGATGCTACCCTCCGTCATGGTTGGGGAGAGGGCAGGCATGGAGAAGTTCTGGGCCGCGAGGCGTCGTGCTGAAGTCCGGAAGCCTGTTTTCGGGGGGTCGAAGAGTGGTCAGCTCCGGTTCTGTCTCTCGGTTTCACGTCGTTGCAGAGGGACAGCAAAAAGGACATATCTGCTGACAGCTACAGCATCTCTGAGAGGGAACGGAGTGATCTACGGACCTCGAGCTGTGGACTCTGCGGGTATTCTCCGGCCAGCAACCCTCGCAGAAAGACGAGCCGCCGTCGCAAGGGAAGCCATCTTTACGATTCACGGGAACCGTTGGTCGGAGCCGGAGCTTTATTCGGGGATGCGTAGGGAGCGGAGCGGGTTCGGATCGGTGCAATTGAGGGAGAAGTTCCCGGAAAAAAAAAATCTCCTCAATTGATTTTCCGTAGTCGGACCACAAGACAAGAGGGCGTAGGCAACTCGGTCTTCGGAGGCGGACGGAGGATGGTGGACAAGTGGGAAAAAAAGAAGAGGAAATCGCCAAAGTGGGTTGAACGAAGGCTTGTCCGTTCGGGCGTGGTCGGTGTCGGTGGTCGAAAAAGCGAACCCGGGGCGGCGCCTTGTGCTCTCTGCGTGTCTCTCTCTCGCGCAAGGATAAAATTGTCGAGCTCCGTTGGGTGAGCTTCCTCTAGCGCCAGCAATCATGGACCTGTTGGGGTGGAACCGGGCTGGGCCTGGTGTGGCTTATCGCCGAATTTTGGCGGCGGACGGGGACGCTGAGCAAGCACGGACCAAGGAAATGCCGCCAATTTGTTGGTCTCATTGGCCCCTTCCTCGCCCGTTATATCGGATGACAACCAAAAAGTACGTACTCGCTTTTTTTGAGCGGTTTTAAACATCTGTGGCGCCTTATCGTTGCGCCGCTCTCCGACTGCACCTCACCTTACAGCACGGGCGGGCAAGGACAAAAAAAAAAAAAAAGGGTCCCCTGCTGCAGATTGGACGTCGCATTTTGATAGTGGAGACATTTCCCACCCCTGTCGTCAAGACGTCTGATGCTCCACAGAAACTTTTCTGGATAGCTTCAATTTCCACGTACGATATCCCGACTGTTTGACGGATTCCTGCCGGGACCAATTGAGCCACGGCCACCTCGGCGCAAATCTCTACGGCCATTTATTCCTCTTTTTCTGTATTATTGGCTTCATTTCTTCGGTCATCTATCACCAGCATTAGCAATCCGCAACCATGGCAGCCTCCTCGAGAGGCATGAGCCTCTGCCTTCTCCTCGCCTCCCGACCCGGCCCCCTCTGCGCAACGACGACGGCAACGATACAACCCCTCCTCCCCCGCCGACTCTTCAGCTCCCTGAACCCTCTCCGATACGCCGCAAAACCCTCGCGCACGACAACAATCCCAAGTAACCTCACCCGTAGCGCCGTCTCCAAACCTCCTCCTTCGAAGTCTCCCCTCCCATCAACATCCCCCAAGACGACAACGAACCCCGCGACAGCATCATCATCACCAGGCACCACCGGCGCCGGCGCCACCGCAGGCTCAGCCTACGCCCTCGCAACCACCCTCGCCCAGCGCCCGCAACCAACAGTCCTCTACGAAGCCGCCTCCCACCTCTGGATGAAGGTATCAGCCTGGTCCGCCGCTACAATGTTCTACTGCTACGCCGGCATAAACTACTACTTCACCCTCCTCGACCCCCCGCCCGACCTCGCCGCCTGGGTCCCGCACGCCTTCGCCTTCATCTGCGTCGCCACCGCCGGCTTCGGCTCCTACTTCCTCTTCAACGCCCGCAACATTATCAAGATCATCCGCGCCGTGCCGACAGCCTCTCTCCTAAAGTCCGCGGGCGGCAAGGCATCTGCTGAAGTTCTTCCCCTCGGCGTGACCAGCGCAAAAGCAACGCCCGTCGTACTCGAAATCACATGCGAGCGCATCCTCCCGGGAACCCCTAAAAAACTACTCGTCGCGCCGGAGCAGGTCACCATCCCGTGCCGCATCTACTCGCCCCTCGTGACACCTACGCCCGCCATGGAGAGGGCCGCCGCGCGGCAGAGGCAGGTGCAGGCGAGAGCCGACTGGGAGTACGACAAGGGACACCTCATGACGACGCCGTTCCGGCACGCGAGTAAAGGGTTCAAGGCGGCGTGGTACGGCGTCCGAAGGGCCATCACCAAGGAAGGGTTTATGAGGATGGAGGCGGGCGGGGAGAAGCTCAAGCTGGATATCTCTACGGGCTGGGCGCTGGATGATGGACGGGCTATTGATCGTCTTGTCAAGGTTGGGGCGTGAACAATGGGTTGTGGATGAGGGGAGAATTTGTCCTGGTAGGAAGGGTTAGCTGCTCTCCTATCCTGGAACGAGGTTGTACAATACTGTATCATGATTGAAACCCAATGTAGACGATATTCTAGCAGAGAAAAATGTTCAAAACGTTGGAAAGAAGTGTCTCCATGAACAAGATAGCCAAGAGAAAACTAGACAAAACTGATATCCCAAACATTCACAGCAGATACTGGACCAGTGTCGCGCAGTAACTCACCTCTGACATCCAGAGTACCTTGCACCCACGACATATAATGAGACGATTTACACATCACACGAACCTTACTCGCCATGTTATGCCCTCAGCGCAGACGCGGTGTATCACTCAGAAGACCCGGCCAGAACCGAAGAGGAGGACCAGCCTGCCCCGAGACGGCAGACCTCAAGGCTACCCGATGCCAGTGTTCTCCTCCAAAGCCAACTCATAGCGTAAATGTCACCGACCTCGCGTCTCAAAATCTCTTCAAATCACGCTGAACTCAGAGACGCGCTTTTGGCGCATATTGCTGGCGAACCCCCGCCAAACGTACCCATCCACAGCATCCTCTTCGTGGCGCAGGAGTAAGAAATCGTCGATAATATCGTCGATCCCACACAGTCATGCTGCTTGCTTCCACTGGGCCCAGACCGACGGAATCTAAGCTGCCCTACAGAGCTCCCCTCTCGGAACCCGCAAAACGCATCTCGATCCAGCACAAAGCGTGGGCCTGGCATGGCAAGAAACGCAACTGCCTTGATTCCAGCGAGGCGTACGTGCATCCCGAGGGGCCAAGTCAACATCTTCACCAGACCGCCCCTTACAGCCTTACCGTTACCCCTCCATGTGTCTCAGAGCGCCGCTTCACTCGAAGAAGAAAAAAAAGCTCTCTAATATTCACCACGTACAGAACGGGAGGGGTAGAAGGCCATAGGCACAGATCGGCATAGTGCCCCTGATCGGCCCTCTCTGGTGTCCCTGATGATCGGACATATTAGGACGACCCATTGCTATGTTTGGCAACCGAGTGTGTCTCGCCTTGTCCTTGTCCTATATGGCGTGCATCGGAAGATGAGAAAGTAGTGTGTACACACGGCGTCTCGACGCCCCAACCTCGCGGAGTCGACTCCGACCCAACCGCCGCAGCGGGCATTTTCCTTGATGTCCATGGTTCCGGGTCCAGAAGATGGATGGCATTTGTGGGAATTCGGAAGCTGGAAGCAGTCGAGAGGTCTTTGGGGCGGGATACGTGGACTGTGGACTGAGCCAACGGCTAGCGCATGTCAATAAGCAGGATGTCACGGTAGGTGCAGATCGAGGAAACGCCTAGGAAATCGCTTCGCGAACCACCGATAGCGTGATTGTTTGGCAGTGGTGGCTGGGGTGAAGCCTGTGTAAGTTCTGTCCGTGTAAGTGCCCAGCGGTTGCAAAGAAGTCCGATGAAGGAAAAACAAAACTTCCAGAAAAAAAAGTTGGCTGGCAAGGCTGGTGCTGGTCTAGTTGGCGGCTACCAAGTCCCACTTGGCAAGGTCGAATAGTGTATAAATCGGCTGGCGGGCGATCTATGGCGGTCAGTCAGCCTCAGAGTTTACGAGGGCGAAACGAGGCTATCCCTGCCTGCCAGAAGCCACGTCGAACCTTCAACGGCTGATCAACAGACATTTTCCAAATGGCGTAGTGAGGGGCAACTGAAGAAACGCAAGATCATCCCTCTCCCCTCTGGCGAGCTGCTGAGCGTTCGTCCTGTGCCAGAGAAGGACCTGTCGATCGCCTCGCCTTTGGAGAGAGGGGGAGTTGCAGCAGGCGGGGTACAGACCGCGGGTGAGGCCATTCCCAGGAACCAGTAGAGAGACGTAACAAAGTGGTGATGTAGAGGACACACTGCCGGGCGCTTGCTGAGCGGTGTGATGGTAAGCGGCCTTCTCACTGTGCGGGATTGGTTGCGACGAATGGTTTCCGACATTTGCCTCCGCTGCCGGACGGAGGATTGGAGGAGAGGAGATGTCGTGGGCTTTGGTGGTTTGGTCTGGCGGCCACCTCGCGCTCAGGAATTATCCTTCGTTCCACCCCGCCTTTCAAACAATGTCGTCATCATCCCTCGAGTCGGTCGTCCAACAATGGCCAGGGTTGAGCGATAATGCGTGATGTTGGCTGATGGGGGGGGGGGGGTCCAAGTCTCCACCGAACTGAGTGGAACGACTCATGCCCCATATCACTCTGATTGTTGGTATCGCTATATCGCATCGCACAGTGTAGCGGAGCCTGCGCCGGCGGCAGACCGAACTCGGGCAATGGCTGGCCGTTGTACGGAGTAAATAGGGGGAACACGCAGCAGGACTCGATCGCATTCTCCACCGGCCGAGATGGCGGCCCCGGACGCCGGCATGAAGGCCGCCGAGTGCCTGATTCCGGGCGCCTGCATACAGTGAGCGTGTGCTCTCTGCCCGTTCAAAGAATAAGAAGCACGAGGGCAGGTCGCCTGCAACTATTCCATTATTCAAAGAAAATGATAAAATCTTAGGTGGGTTGCACCACAGTTTGAGGCAACACTGAAGTCGTACAAAAAGTACGGATCGCATTTGCGGTGCGGGAAATTGCAAAGACTCAATGAGGGGTCCTCGAGCCTCTGCCCCAAGTCTGAATACCAGATATGTCCCGAAGTTGACTGGCGCATGCCTGCGGGTAAGTGTAGGGAATGTGTCAAGCATGAAGCGATGGATGAGGTCTCCCCACGATCCTCCATCACAGCATGACGCCCGTCATGGCTGGTGGCTGTAGAGGCGTCAGATCATCAGCTCATTATCGTTCGAAGGCAGTTCATACGATGCCCGCAAAAAAGAAACAAAAAATCCACGGCTGCAAATTGGGTCCTCGACTACCTGGTTGTTGACGTGCGAGAGCGGAGGCCGTAGCAGAGGATAGCGCGAGAGACAAGGTCCGGGGTCTGACAGGAGCCTACCAGGTATTAGTGCACTCATCGTGTTAGTGTAGTGTAATTATTATGTGGTGCAGGCTCCCGAGATGAACATACCTAATACCTTAGTGTGGGGGGAAGGGAATGAGCGACCTTCCGATAGATAGCATTCGACAGTAGGCCAGTCCGGATACGCAGTAAACAATGCGGACTTGATTGATAGGACAGCTGATAGTGTGGCATCTCGAATGGAGCAGTTGCGGTGTGCTGCCGGCAGTGCAAATACAAGAGAAATGGAGCCTCTAAACCTCCATCATACCTCAGCCGAGTAAAGGTTAAAGATGGCGTATCCCGTACCTTTCTCGGTACATGCGTCAACAAGTGTCTGCATGAGGCAAAGCCTTGTATCTGTACGGCAACTAGGGGTATGAGATGGATTGAGGCTTCACAATGGACCCCGTTCGACAGGGCCTCATGAGGCTCCGCCGAGTTTCGCTTCCATGCCGACCGCCATGAGATCAGATGGAAGTTGAACTGGGAACCTGCCAAAGCAGGTAGGCGACGCTTGAGGGCGTCTATTTGCGGTCCAAGGACAGGGAGAAAGCGGGAGAATGAGGATGCGTACTCGGGTTGCGTGGTGCAGGCGGGAATGGCGTTTGGTTGGTCGCAGTCAACGGTCATCGTCAATTCCCCACGAGATCGAGGGGCAGCTCCAGGGGTCCGAATCAATGCCCCTCCTTTTCTTGCACCAGACCGCAGCGACGCGCAGAGATAGGTAGAGATACAGACAGCCCGTGATGGTGTGTACACTTGACCGTGGCACTGCTCGTCATGAGCCGCCAACAGCACGAGCACAGACCATCACGGCCCTCATGTAAGTCAGGGTTGAAGTCAAGGTTGAAGTCGACAGTCGAGAGGTCAACTGGTTCAAGCAATCCCAGCTTCCTGCTCTAAGACGTACTGGGAATAGCGTCACTCCTCCACTGCTTTCCTAGTGGAACAAGTCCCGTTGACCACCCTGGTCGTCTTCCAGTCGTGCGTCTCTGAGAATCCACTCTTTGCAGTCTTTCTCGCATAAGACAAAAAAAGGTGTGCGAGCCTGCAGGAAAAAGAGAATTTTCGCGACGGAGCGGTGAGCGAGCAATCGGCGTATCGCCTCCCTGTAGTCTTTCTTCCCCCCCCTGACGAGACGAAAAATGTGCATTCCTCACCTCCCAGAAGCGGCTGCGTCTTCAAATCATGTGCCTCAACTCTAGTGTCACGTATAAGCGGTTGAGTTCCAGCTCTCGGCGAGCTCGGTAAGGTAGTCGGCGCATTCTTGGAGGATCTTCAGGGTTCAAGCAGCCTTGTTTTTCGCACCCTAGATCTGAATCGAACCTTGCTGCGAGAGTAGCGCCATTGTTCATACCCGTATTCGTAGTACGGTAATAGCGGAATTCCAATCTTTTGCATCTTCAAGACGAGAACAGAATTCAGAGTCCGGATCCATGGTCACCAATCTTGGTGTATAAACAAACGTCAGACTTCAGGTGAAGTCGTGGGTCCTGCTGCAGCTTATACAAATCAGCTTGCTAGTGTAAATGGCAAAGTTGCAGTAGTGCTGTGGCTGGCGTGAACGACACCTCAGACATAGTGTAGCTGTGTGATGCTATGCTCATCCGGTCATCCGTCGAGAGTTCCCTGGCGAAAGGCAAGCCACTTGTTCCCGGCTTGTGTGAGGAACTCGTCAATAAAGAAGGCAATTCAGTCTTCCCTAGCTGAATAGCGGGGGCCTTGGTTCGTCGGGATCCCCTTTGCAGTCGACACGTCAAGTTTCCAAGTCGCAAGACTCGGTCACTTATGGAACCTCGTCGGTAGCCCAAGTCCGGTGAGATCGACGGCTGTTCGGCAGTCCACCGCTCAACGGTGAGTATCAAAAGAACGACTCAAGGTGTCAAACGTGAATCGCACAGCTGGACGATCTCTCTTGGCTGGCGAGTCAGCGGTCCTCCCGCCCCCCGGTCCCCAGACTCACAGACTCTCCAGCCTCGCATGTCCGGCACATCATTGGTGGGCGGCTCCGTTGCGCCATGGATG